ATGAGATTAGCAGCAATTAACATTACATCATATCATATTCTATATAAAATAACGGGCAGCATAGGTAAATAAACCAGGAGATAGGATACAACGTCGCTCTAATAACATCTAGAAAATAAAAAACTGCGGTTGCCAACCTGCCTAGCACCTGTGGCACACCTAGGCCATGTATTCAAAATAGGCATTTTGAATAATGTAAATAAAATTGTATTCTGAATTAAATTACCTTTCATTTCATATATAATTTCTATATAATTTTTAAAGTGTATCATTATTTTTATAAAAAAGTTTTTGACAGAACTTATGACCTGACTAAGTATTTCGAAATAATTCCTCCGGTTCAACAGTAATTATAGCATTATGTTATATTATATTAGATTGTCTACTGTTATGTTTGTTTTCTACGGAAATATGTTATTCTTAGCATTAGTTTTAGCAGAAAATATTTCCCGAGAGAGCACTTTACACTCGGAGTAGGAAATATACGAGTATGCTGTGGGTCGGTATGTGTCAGATGTATGTAATATCTGTAGTACTAGCTAGACCTAGAATACTACTATGAGATTAGCAGCAATTAACATTACATCATATCATATTCTATATAAAATAACGGGCAGCATAGGTAAATAAACCAGGAGATAGGATACAACGTCGTTCTAATAACATCTAGAAAATAAAAAACTGCGGTTGCCAACCTGCCTAGCACCTGTGGCAAGTGTTTGAAGTGAAGGCCTAAGTTCAGCGGAGGACTTTTGATAGACTGTGATGATGAAGATGACGATAATAATTTTACAAATTTGTTCCTTCTCTTGACATAATTTTTTGATTATTAAATTAAATATAACTAGAGTTTTTACTGAACGAGAGCTCGAAAATTATAAATAAAATTAAATATTAATTGAATACACTTAAATAGTATTTGAATACCACCGTGAAATAGCAGCTTAATGCTTTATTTAATTAGTGTTTCGTATTTTCAGTGCAGAAAACCGGAGACCCATTTTACTGGAAACGAGGCATTCCATCTTAGTCCTCACGCATCTGCATTTTGATTTGTAATCGAGGATGTGGATGTCTATGGGCCGCATCAACCACTTACCATCAGGTGGACTGTGTGCTCGCTTGTCATCCTATATACGACCAACTGCTGAGCATGTGCACAGAATAAATAATAGTACTACGAGGTAACTCTACCTAATCAGTGCACTTTTGGAGCTAGGAAGAGTCCATCCCGTTATTTCAATTCGTGCTTTCGGACATTACATATCTATGAATTATATTTTTCGTAAGATACTTCCATATTACGTTTTCGTCTGGTCCCTTACAATTTTTTCGTCTCCAAGCAAGAGTTAAATCAGTGCCTCAACAATGGTCAGTCGAACACTAATATATTTTGAATTTATTAAATACTATTTGATCATCATCATTACACCCAAGTAATGCCACAAAGCATGATCCTGAGCCATCTGCATCCATCGACTTCCTGCATGTCTTACCAGGTCGTCACTCCATCTAGTGGGGGGTCACCCTACACTACGCCTACCGGTACGAGGCTGCCACTCGAGAACCTTTCTTCCCCATCGGTTATCGGTTCTTCGAGCTATATGGCCGGCCCATTGCCACTTCAGCTTAATAATCCGTTGGGCTATGTCGGTCACTCTGGTTTTACTGCGGATATCCTCATTTCTGAGTCTATCACGCAGAGAAACTCCGAGCATAGCCCTCTCCATAGCTCGCTGAGCGACCTTGAGCGTCCTCGTACGGCCACTAGTGAAGGACCACGTCTCAGATCCGTAAGATAAATTTAATAAATTATATTAGTATTTAAAATGTATTTTAATAATATATAATGTATTTTAATAAATAATATTTATAATGTATTTAAATATGTATTGTGTTTTTTATTTTTGTCTCATATTTTATTTACTTATAGTTTTGTATAGAAGTACCCGTTTATATATTTATCCTATATTATATATTAAGTAAGTACATATGTATATTTTACTCACTATATATCTATTCTATTCATTTGCATTTTATTTTGTTTTATATCCTTATTATTTATTTATGAAGTGATTGATCACACCTGCCACAGTTTCTCAAATCATCCAGGGTTGACTGGCAGAGAATGCCATAAGGCATTAAGTCCGCCCTTTATATCCCTTAGTATTATATAAGGTGTATAGTAAAGATTATATAAATAAATAAACAAATAAAATAATTATGTTTTTTATTTTTTATGTAATGTAATGTCTTATATTATAAAGGTGTTGTTAACGTATATGCTATGGAACGAGTCATTAACAGGGAATTATATTATTATGAAAATGTATCTGAAAAATGGATCTTACTGGATACATTTTTGTAAAGTATAACGAACTTCAGGATTATATGAAATAATCTGCAAACCAGAATTATACCTTATGTTTATCGTTACATGCACTGGACTAATTTTATTATGTGGATAATAAAATTGGATAAAGGGGGACTATATATATATACTATACTATGGGAATAAAGCCTTTAATTCTCCGCCACGGTTATGCCATATATATCTGTTTAATACGAGTATATTTTTTTAGTAACTTTAGTTTTGTAGAAATCATCCTCAGAACTCAACACCTAACAATCTACTTATCGTAAAGTGCGAGGGTAAGCAGAAAGTAAACGGGTGAGGGTCAGCGCATACCAAGAGCAGAGCATTTTCTGAGAACACTAAAATATTTATTTTATGACTACTGACAGTGCAAAATTATATACACGTCCAAACTTGGTGCTCGACCATGCTCGAGCTTGCAGGATGCATGTTCGAGCATGTGCGAACATGCATCCTTCAGGTTCCCCGTCCTCTGCCAAAAGGGCCATAGTCCTCCATCACCAAGTTTCAAACAATTATATTGAACACATCTATCAACGTTGGATTTTGGCATCAAATTGGTCATGCACGCCCCCCTAGCAACCCAGAGCACTTTCAATAGATCTTGCTCACGGAGGCGCGCGGATGCCGCCTGCATGGTCGAGTAGTCAAAATTTTGTTCGAGTATACGCGAGCGTTTTGCAGTTCGGTCTGCGCTTACGTACTTACTCCATGCACTGTTTTAACGTGACCTTACCGGTACTCCTACTCCATAGGCGTAGTCCCGAACTCATAGAAAACACCAGATCCCTAAAAAAGACGACCACTTAGATCCCTTCTAACTAAAAGACTATCGCTATCACCTCATTGTTCTCCAAAATAATGGAAACAATTATTAACTGCCAGCTCATGAAGTAACTTGAGAATCACCAGCTGATCAGTGACCGCCAGTTCGGTTTCCGTTGGGGTCGCTCAGTTGGTGATCTTCTGGGATACCTTACTCATAGATGGGCGGAGGCAGTATAGTCCAAGGGGGAGGTATTGGCCGTTAGTTTGGACATAGCGAGGGCCTTCGATCGGGTTTGACGCAAAGCACTTCTTACAAAGCTTCCTTCATATAGGGTTCCGCGAGTAGTTTCGTAGTCACTTGGAAGAGAAGCCCAAATTGGCATCTGTAAAACATTGGCGTGCTCATCAGAGTGGTAGAGTATTCCATGTCAGCACACCACCTGCAACTTTACAAGGCACAGATTCAGCTGCACATGTAATACTGTTCCCTGCTCTGGTCTGGGGCTACCAAGTGCTAGCTCCTTCCATTTGATCGCATTCAGCGCAGATCTGTTCGAATAAACGGCGACCGAGCTTTTTCCGATCGGCTTGACTCACACTTCACTGGCACTGCGAAGAGATGTTGCATGTTTTTCGTAAGTATTTCATCGCATTTATCACCAGGCGTGCTCTGAGGAATTGTTCGGACTAATTCCAGCCACACAATTTCACAATCGCACATAAATAAAATCTACTAAACCGATATAGCTCGCGATTCCATTCATACACTGTTCGATTTAAAAGAAGTATTCTTCCTCGCACAACTTCCTTGTGGAATCGACTACCACCAGAAGTTATTCTAGGCCGACACAACTGAGGGACCTTTAAGAAAAGAGCCTACTCATTTTTAAAAAGCCGACAACGCATCTGCAACTCCCCTGATGTGGCATTTTGGTATTCACTTACCATCAGGTAAGCCGCATGCTCGTTTGCCCACTCTCCTATAAAAAGATGATAATTTATCCTCGATTAAAATCAATATGAAGATAACGCATCTGCCTCGTTACCATTCAAGTCTCCGCTCCTCGTTACTTACCATACGAAACACATTAGCATTATGCTACTACTGCTGAGCGTATGTGATCCTTCTCCATAAGCACAAACTTTGAAACAAGATAAAAAGAAGGATTAGTTTTTGTTCTAGCCTTTTAATAATACTTACATCGTAACTTACCAATTACCATGAGTCGACTATTCTCGACAATATGGCGGTATGTTTACACCGGCATGATAAGGCGGGAAGTATTTCCGAAGAGTATGAACACCTAAATCTTCGAATAGTAACTTAAAAATAATTGTTAAATCGCAAAAATAAACTTTATTTAATGAACTAACAAAAATTATCCAAACTTAATTAAATTACAGTAGAAAACAAGGCACATGAGCGAAACAAATTTTTTTAATGCTCACGAGCGCCATCTCGTATCCATTAACGTAATTTAATCTATGGCGGGGAAAATAAAACGATTTAAATTTTTCGACTTGCAAAATTGAAACATGAAAGAAAAAGACAGATAAAGGAATAAAATAGAATATAGATAAATAGGAAAAAAGTTTTGTCATGTCTATATAAAAAAAAAGGTTGAAAATGATATTAAACATATTTGTCAAACTTATATCGAGTACATGTGATCAAAATGTATTTAGAAATATATTACGAAGATCAGAGTAGGTATTTACTAAAAGGAGATACTGATATTATTCAAATTCGTAAATACAGCAACATATTGTCATAATAATATTGGATTCAGTCCTAATTATTTATAACATGCAACAACATTATCTTTTGAACAACAAATTACATTTTGTTAATAAGTTAAAATTTAGATATCTTTATGTTTCTATTTCTTTTGTATAAATCATAAGTTCCTAATCTTTTAATTTTTTGGCTATACAAGTAATCATTCTTAAAACTGGTAACATTATTTGATTGAGCAACAAATTTTATTTGCTTTGATACGATATTGACTTTAAAATTGGTTGTAAAACCACTGTTTGAAGTTGAAGCAGTAGGAATAAAAGGCAGCACTTTGGGATTTTTTAGAATGGCCCTTTGTTGTTTCGCCTTTGGAGAATTAAAATCATCTATGTATATACTTTCTTCTAAGTAATTCGATGGTTTATTTTTTCTTTTCATTGTTTCTTCTACTACGAATTCTGTTGTGGAGATAGGTTTGTGCTTCTTTGCGGTCAAAATTGCTTTATTAGGTTTATCTTCCAAACGATTAAGGAGAGAATGTGGTAGTCGAGGTATGTAGATCTGGTCTAATGAATTTTCCTTAAGCACCTATAAACAGAAAAGTTTCAATTATACCTACAGCTTCAGTGACAGATTTTAAAGAAAAAATATTTTTATTACTCGTAAAATTGGCAGAGAGTACGATAAAAAAAATGAATAAAAAGTATTAAGAGACAAAGGCAAATAAGGCATGATAATAACTGTTGCAAAATAAAACATTATTAAACCTATTTCTTATTGAAGTTTAAAACATGTCTCTATCTACAACTGTTTCAAAAGTCTACACTTGAAGCCTTGTGAGACCTACTTCATTATAATGTGGTATGAATAATATGAAGCCAGATAATATCATATTTAATAAGATAGCAATAGTTATTTTTATTAATTAGAAGCATAAATAGAGCACAAAAAAATTAATGATTGTATAATTAATGTTATATATTCACTATATGTAAATGCACATTATATGATATTATGATATATATATATATATATATATATATATATCGATATTTATTCCACGGGATAATATACAAGCTAAATAAAAATTAAATATTCATTAAAGATAATATTGTATTTTTAATACATATAAAGACAAAAGCTTGATTACGAAATATTAAAATATTATAATAATTACAATATATTTAAACTAATTCTTTACAAAAGTAATTTAATATAATAGTGAGTATAGTATGAGTATGAGTACATATTTATATATTAACCAATTCAAAACATAGATAGACACCAATTTGATAGTGACATTGATAATGACAGAAAAAAGTTAATTTCGTTAATGTCAGCGTGATGGCAAAGGTTTATAATTTTCCTGCTCCAGATATTCATCAAACATAATATTATAAAATGCTTCTATTTAAAACCCACCTTCAATGCCTTGTTTGCATCGTCATCATCGTCTCTGTGTTTCCGTTTTCTGTTTTTATCATTTTTTAATTTAGGATTAACTGAAAAATAAAACAAATAAATTTTGTTATGATTTTATTAAAAAGGACAAATAATAAAGAAAATATTTAAGTAGTTTGTATGACTCCTTAAATTTATTGAAAATTTCACATACATATTATAGGTGGACTTAATGCATGCTCTATTAGTCTATCTTGGGATGATGCAAAGATAGAAAGAAGTTGATGTAAAAAAATGTTTTGAAAATACAAAAGGAAAATAAATAAAAATGTTGTAATACATATAGCGTGTAAATTTTGTAAGCTGCAAGGAATTCCATTGTAGTCCTCAGAGCTCTAGCCTTTTTTGTTTGAAATTGACTGTAGGTGCAGGTGCCCATGGACTGCACTATTCAGTAGTCACTTACCATCAGATGGACTGGAAGTTTACTAGAAAACAGTTTACAGTTGGTAGAGCTCCTTATCTGTCTATGAATTAGTTTGGGTAAATTCATACCTGATTCTGAAACATCTTGATTCTTACTTTGTCCACGATGAGGCATATTTTGTTTGCATGATTCAGTGTTTACATGTTGTTCGGTTCCTGAAACTATATAAAAAAAAAAGAAATATATTACTTTAGGAAATAATTTGAGCACAATAAAAAATACAATTTATTTATGTTATATAATTAAATAAACATATTTATTATAAGAAAATACGATTCTGAGACTCAGACATACACTGGTCACACTAAATGATGTATGTATCATGTCAGCATAATTTATTAAAATTTTTATGAACTAAATGTTTGTAAATGATTTGATCTATCCTAACATGCAATAGTAAATTTGTCGGAAAGTACAATACGATAAGCCAATTGTGTGGCATTTTATAGATGCGCCTACATATTAATAAACTTTGATTCAATCAATACATAACGGAAGTGAATATAGGTAAGTTATATTATTTACTGTAAATTGTAAGTGCTAAAAACGATCATTATACCTTTTAGTTGGTTTTCAGTCTTGAAGTTTCTGATCTTTTTCTTTGATTTATTTGACATCCCTGGCTCATTCAGAATTTTTGATGATTCAAGTATATCATTGACATTACTTCCATGTACATCTTGTCTGGCTTTCTTTTTAATTGTTATAGATGTATAGTGGGCCATTTCACTTATATTAGGTTTCTCAATATCTGAAAGTTTCAATAATTATTTACTTACTTACTTACAAATATTTTTAGCACCTGTTAACGGAGCGGATGCATATCTTTTCTGTTTTCGTATACTTTTCCTTGTGGCATATTTAAATACTTAGTAAGCCTAATGTCAAAAAAAGAACTATTTCCCCATTCATATTTTTGTTTTGACCGTTGTACAGGCTGTCTAGGATCTTTTAAAACAACTTCTTGATCATTTTTAACTTTAGAAATGTGTGCCATAGTGGTCTGGTCGCCTTGGACTCTGTGGAAAGACAACCTAAAATACTTATGAGTTAGCCTTCCTTCTTTGTAGTAAAATGCCAAAGCATTGACCATGTGCCGGACGGGCGAAACTCTTCGGAGTAAATGTTGTCGAAGATATTTCGCGAGTCGCTCACGTCCTACACCTATAGGTTCCGGAGGATACTTTCACTGCCGTCTTTGTGGGTGCCGCTGAGATATTGTAGACTGAGGTTCAAATCAAAATGCACGATTTATAAATACAAATAGCAAGGTAGTGGCCAGCGGTTCGACTGATTGATTAGTCGCGAAATTTTATTACTATTGTTTATTGACCACAGTTGTTGAACTACGGTTGTTCACTATTGGTTGGTCTCTGTATATTTCAAAAGATTTCTTTAAATTGTACGGTAGTATCAAATATCTATTGGTAGTAGCTGGTTTTCTAACACTACTGACTAGCAGCTATTATCAACTAAACTAGTTGATTTTATCACTTGTGTAACTGCGGATATCAGTTACCACTTTCACTATATGTAACTGCGAATATCAGTTACGACCTTTTTCGGCTAGCTAACACTTTCACTATTCACTATATACTGCTACTAGTCACTTCAGCTACTACCGGATACCACTGCTTGTCACTGGTAGTTCTTCAGACTACTACCCTACTGGGTCCTGAGCCCCTAAGATAGACTTTGGCTATACCTTAAGGCCGAATACGAAGAGAACTGGCGAAAATTAACGTATTTCTCTTGACTAGAACTTTGACCTGAAGTAATTCTAAGCTTTAAAACATTTTTGTAGGTTTGTTCGGGTTCAAAGAAGATGGTTGGGTGCTGCCATCTGCTTGGGATCCTATAAATAACAAAATTAAACCCAAACCCAAGCATACCACTGCAAGACTTCAAGATACTGTAAGTTCGTTTTGCGTAAATCGGACCAAAAATTAATATTCAAAAACTGAAGGTAGCCGGGCTAGCAATGTCATTATGACGTCAAACACATCAGTCCCCCCCCGTGACCATGGTTGCTGTAAAGCACCCGAAACGTCGGGAATTAAAAATAAGTAAAATCAGTTAAATAAACGCGATAGAATCCGTAAATTTAGTTTTATGCAATAATTCGTTTTAATTAAAACACCTAATAATAATATCATATATTGCCAGATAAAAGTTTGCCGTAATAAATTACCAGGCGCTTCGACGTGTGACGTAAGGTAACAACAGTCGATGTGTCTGTAGCGAAAATCGTTAATTTAGTGTTTTATACGCGTTTAAGTGACTATAAATGTAAATATAGGTAGGAAAAGAAATTAATGTCTAAGTGGTAAAACAAAGAGAGTTTATCGCATGAACGCTGCTCGAATGTTGTATTTTGAGGTTAATACTTATATTTAGTAAGGTAATTTTTTGTTTGAGGCTGCCTAATAGGTTGCATTTTTACTCATTTACATTAGCCAAACTGATCATTTATACTTTTCTAGTTTCAAGTGAGAAACACTAAAAATGTAAATATAAACACCCAGTCGGAAAAGAATGTACAGAGTAGCGCAAGCACAGAGACCGCAAATAATGTCATAGTCAATGTATTGTCCGAAAGCATGGGGTAAGTACATAATTAAGAAAAACCGAAATACTTCGGATGTGAAGTGATTGACCAGTCGGAGTAGTCTTGTGAGAATTTACATACACAGTACCTATCCCCACTATGGCGCAATCACAGACTTTTTAGTATTTTTTTCTTTATTATTTAATGCGATTTGCATTATGGCATCTTGTAAGACTCACAAGAACAAACATTTTCAGTTATATGAGGTTCTTTACGTACGATGCACCAATTAACAAAAAAAATCGTAATCAATTCAATAACTTTTCGAACAATATTTTATAACGAATAAAGTACAGAATTTATAATCTCTGGAACTAATATTATAAATAAGAAAGATTTATTTATAAGTAAGCAATGCTCTCTGTGTTGTTCATTACTCTGCATACTGAGCTAGCTCAGTCAAATATAATATAGGTAATCAAAGCCCGTACGGCTTTGATTATATTATACATGTATATATAAACAAAGCGTACTGGCGGCGCGTGGTTTGCTGCGAAACGAGCAAGGTCATTCGCGTCGTATTCGCCCTTAAGTGAGCCGCTTGCCATTTTCCGTTTTGTGTCTTTATTACATAAACTTTTCACTATGCAAATGACATAAATTACAATATTTTCTATACAAAACTAATTGCTACACTAACATGCTATACATCATCAAATCGGTAGTCTGGTACTTTATTAGTATATCATAAAGCCCCATCTGAAAACATTAACATTGTAAGAAGTTATTAAACGAAATGTCCCAAATTTTCATAATATTTGGGTACATTAATTCTTTGATTTGTCTATAACTACCAAATGCGTTTAATTATACAAAATATTCCTACACTTCCTTAATCTATAAGCCATATGCTAATTCAATGTCATATTTACAACTCTTTTAGAACATAAAATTATTTTCATTATTTTTAGTACGAACTATTACGCAGTTAATTAAAAACTTCTAGGGTTCTACGATTGGTCGATTTTTCTTAATACAATAAAAGTTGTTTACATCACTTGTTATCAAAACGACATTCTATACAAATATACTAAGAGTTATAAACATGCTACACAACTACATCAATTCACGTTTTCACCCAGTTTTGTCGGTAATTTCACTATTAATACAAAAAACAATATTCTTTATCACTTTGTTTCTTAGCGTTGTTAGGCCGTCGCGTACAGACCATGAATATGAAATTACTTGCCAATCAATTATGTTGCAATTTGAAGAGTGCGCCAATGTGCGAAGTTTGTTGGCACAGCAAAGATATAGAGCTCCTTATCAACTTTCAAGATTGGATATAATATTGGTTTTTTCCCACCAATGGGCTGATACGCTAATTGTTTTATACAACATTGGGAATGTTTGTGATCAACTTTCTTTTAAGGCGACACCGTGAAAAAATACACCTCCTTTCATCGAATAGTATAGGACTATAACACCACTAACGAAAGTGGGATTTTGATATAGGTAAAATCATGTCTTTATCTTGAATTTGATTTCTCAAAACACGATTGTATAATTTTGACTCGATCATAATTATTTGCGAAAACACCTCTAAAAAATCACTATAGTCGAAATTACAACGAAATCATTTGATCTATATGCTTGGAAATCACTCAAATATATTCATAACATCAATATTCATAATTTACTTGCTCATTATTTTGATAACTTAAATCAATTATTTTTAAAAGAATATTTTAAGATTCTGATAATTTCAAAGCGCTTTTAATCGTCGCGGATGCTACGCAATTTTAGACCTTATGACAGCGTTTCTTCAAGTTTTTATAGAAATTATGTATTCACTCGGATCATTACGGCGATAGCGTTTTCGATGTGTCGTCTTAAGTCTACTTATGAATAAAAAAAAAATAACAATTTTACCTTGACTTTGTTTATTAGAATCTTCGGAGTTTTGCGATATTTTTCGCTTCTTATTTTGGTTGAGTACAAATTTATTGGTAATTATTGAATTGTCGTCGAATGATTTATCTGTAATAAAATTTAAATATTAAGTGGGTTACATAATCACAGCATAACAATAATTTGAAGTTTACTTAAGGCCGAATACGAAGAGAACTGGCGAAATTTAATGTATTTCTCTTCACTACAACTTTGACCTGAAGTAATTCTAAGCGTTAAAACATTTTTTGTAGGTTTGTTCGGTTCCTTCACAAGGTGCCCGAAGTTTCAAAATTTTAAAATAAATGAATATACCAACAAATAAAAAAATGTTAAGAAATGATATTTAAAAATGATTGTTCTTCCAAAACTCTGTGAATTTTAATTTAGAAAAAATTCTTTTACGTAAAAATGTTTCTATTGTGATTCCGAAGGTGCCTGCCGTCTTTATTTTCGATAAGGTGACAACAGTCGTTGCGTCTGTACCGAAAATCGTTAATTTAGTGTTTTATAAGCGTTTAAGTGACTATAAATGTGAATATGGGTAGGAAAAGAAATAAATGTTACCTAAGTGGTAAAACAAAGAGTTATCAAAGAGTTAGTTTATCGCATGAACGCTGCTCGAATGTTGTATTTTGAGGTTACTTATATTTTTTGTAAGGTAATTTTTTGTTTGAGGCTGCCTAATAGGCTGCATTTTTACTCACTTACATTATGATTTCTTAAAACGTCGGGATAATAATAAAAATAAATTAAAGTAATTAAACGCGATAAAATCCGTAAATAATAGTTTTACTTATTTACATTAGCCAAACTGATCATTTATACTTTTCTAGTTTCAAGTGAGAAAGACTAAAAATGTAAATATCAAGACCGAGTCCGAAAAGAATGTACAGAGTAGTGCAAGCACAGAGACCGCAAATAATGTCATAGTCAATGTATTGTCCGAAAGCATGGGGTAAGTACATAATTAAGAAAAACCGAAATACTTCGGATGTGAAGTGATTGACCAGTCGGAGTAATCTTGTGAGAATTTACATACACAGTACCTATCCCCACTATGGGGCAATCACCGACTTCTTAGTTTTTTTTTCTTTATTATTTATGCAATTTGCATTACGGCATCTTGTAAGACTCACAAGAACATTTTCAGTTATATGAGGTTCTTTACGTACGATGCACCAATTAAGAAAAAAAATCGTTATCAATTCAATAACTTTTCGAACAATATTTTATAACCAATAAAGTACAGAATTTATAATCTATAGGAACTAATATTATAAATAAGAAAGATTTATTTAAGAAGCAAGCAATGCCCTCTGTGTTGTTCAAAAAAATGTAACAAAACCATTGAATTAATCTGAAACTGAACTAAAAAAATTCATGGCAATATTGTTATACATAAACATGTAATGTCATAAAACATCCTAATGTCAGGCTTTACTGGTCTAACACTGTAGGTGTTGAACCAATCAAAAAAATTATGACAGTCAACAGATTTGAGACTATTAGAAGATATCTTCATTTCAACAACAATGAAACACATTTACCCAGGGAACACCCACAACATGATCGGCTCCATAAGATTAGCCCTATACTTAGCCATCTAAATGAGAAATTTGCGACAGTTCTATTCTATTCTATTGATGAACAGGTGTGCTACAAAAGTAGCACACTTCATGACACAATATCTACTCAATAAACCACATAAATGGGGGTTTAAATTATATGTAATATGCAGTGTAAAAAAGGCTATGCTCATAAATTTGAGATCTACACTGGTAGAGAGAATGAACGGTTTCAAGATGAACCAGATTTTGGACCAGTGAGGAATGTTGTTATCCGGCTAGCAGGTATCCCATGGCATATCAACCACATAATATATTTTGATAATTTTTATACCTCTGTTCCACTAGTTACCCATCTTGCTAAACAAGGGATCTATAGCCTGGGTATTGTACAATCTAACAGACTTGTAAACTGCAAACTACCTGACAAAAAATCACTAATGAAGAAATCTGTTCCCCGGGGTAGTTATGAAGAGCAAATGACAAGGTTTGAAGGTGTTGATTTGACAGCAGTATGTTGAAAGGACAATAAACGGGTCACTTTCCTATCTTCATATGTTGGTGCAGTACCTGTTTCTCTAGTAGAAAGATTTGACAAAGTTAATAAGACCAGGATCAAGATTACATGCCCACGTGTAATAAGAGTATAATGCTCATATGGGCGGGATGGATCTTCTGGATAGCTTCATTGATAGGTATCGTATACCAATGAGAAGCCGTAAGTGGTACCTATGTATATTTTACCATTTGTTGGATATGACAGTAATAAATTCCCGGCTTGTTTATAAAGACTGGAGACTGAAGAAAAAAAGGTACTGAAGCAACTTCATCAGTTCTGAATTTCTGTCAATATAGACCGGAACTAGCTGAGGTTCTAGCTAATATTAATAATGCATCTGAGCTATGTAACAAACGAGGAAGGCCCGGCACTAGTAACAACGTTGAAATGGCAATACAAGCCAAGAAAAGTAGAGGACCAGTTCAGCATGTTCCACCTAAAGATATCAGGACAGATAATGTTGGTCACTGGCCTGATGATTGCGACCGCAGTAGACGCAAAATGCCTGGGTGCAAGGGATATATACAAACAAAGTGTGAGAAGTGTGGAGTAACCCTTTGCCTTACTAAATCTAGAAATTGTTTTAAAAACTTTCATATGTAATTATTTCTAGTAAATTCATAGTGTTGTATATATGCAACACTTGTTTTTTTTTTAAATAAAAACCTATAAAATAATGATTTTTTATTTTTATTATTATTTTTCCCTGCCTAGGCATGTACATGTCTACTACATATATTTTTCCTACATAATAAGAACAAATCATGCATTTAAGGGTTAAACAATTTTTTTTTGAAAATGAACAATACAGAAAAAAAGAGTTATAGTAGCAGATGAATGTATGTGACGGCGTAGTTGTCGTGGCGTATTTAAGTGAAATATTTTAAATAGCAACTTGTTGCAAAACAGCATATAAAGAGTTCCCCTTCTCATTATAAAGTAGTTTTGCAGTCTGCTTATCCTTTCGACGAGTTATTTTTACAAAAATCATTAAATCCATTATTTTGTTTTTTTTTTTTATATCGTAATTCTGTTCGTGTGAAGCAAACTAGCGTTAAATTGTGAAAAGCAGAGTGTTGCTGTCGGTTTGTATACTTAAATTATTTGATGTTATTAAGTGACGAAGATGTTCACTTTACACTATGTATTAAAGTATAGTTTCATGATAATCGTGCTACACATATGTAGTGTGTTATGCTGTTTTATTGCTGTTAATAATTAATTGCTTAAGCAAAAGTGCAAATTCAACATTTGTTAATATTATTTTAAGATAATGTATAATGAATCTTCTAAAATATCGAAATATTTTAATTTACAAACTTTCTAAAGATACTTCTAACGTAGGGTTGACGGATGATTTCCTTTTGCGTTTTTTTGAGCATGCATCATTAGGATCATTTTTACTTTTAACTTTCCCTGTGAAGAGAAATATAATAAAATATAATCTACAAGGTGGCAAACTAAGTAGCTCTAAATCCAAACTTATAATCTGGTTTGAAAGCTAGTATAATTGCAACAGTGAGGTATTCCATTCTGATCTTTAGTTGACAACACTTCTGTAGGTCTTGCAAGTCTCCACCAATCACATCATCAAATGAATTGTTAGCTTGTCAATTTTAATGACATGAAAGTTCATCTGTTTTTGAAAGTTTAGTAACAGAACAGTAAAAGAAGGCGCTCAACAACGACGAGTGAAAAAGAGTCGATAAATGGAAAGAGAAAGAGAAATCTTATTCAATCATTACATATGTTTTCACAATGACAGAATGAAAATGTTGTTTTGTAAGTATTTGTCAGCATTATTTCTGGTGATCTCATGTGTTACAAATGCTTTTTTCTCAGATTCACACTCTGTAAATAATAATTAAGATATTTAAACAATTGGCCCTTTTAAAATTAAGGTAATGTATGTTATTTTAAACAAAATAATATTCTGACACCAGATTTTGTATCTATTTGATCTTTTCCAAACAAATATTCTTTTGTATTATTAGCTTCTGAGAAATTTTCATCAAATTTGTTAAGTGATTCCGATAATCTGCTCTTTTTGAAACAATTTTTAATTTTGAATTTTACATTTAAAGTGTAAATTAAATATATAAATATTAATCTAACCACAAACATAAATGCGAAAAAAATTTGGTACAAACGACAATCAGGATTGTCGGCTTCGTCGATAGAAGATTAATCATTTAAATGGGTGTTAAGTTCCATAGCAGTTCCTTAAAATCATAGCTATCGGAACATACCTTCCTCAATTGATTTAAAATAACATTTGTTACATTCTTTAATAAAAAAATAACTTAACAAGATTTATTACAAATTAAATTATAGTATAAAATAGAATGACTAGAAAATAAATTTTTGGCTTATTTTAAATAATTATTTCGTTAGATGTAACTTTAACTATTTTCCAGTGTGCGGGCAAAGGTTCGATTAATACCGCCACGAATGAAATTATTCATTGCAATTATAAGTGCTGATTAACACGTGCTCGAAGGAGAAGGAAAACACTGTAACCGTGTAAATGTTATTATGTTGAGCAAGCACGGGAAGTTCGCCAACACGCATTGGTGCAACGCGGTGGACATTTGCTTTGCCCTTAAACCGCCTCTCAAATGAGGAAGACTTTAATTTTTATACGTCGAAGTCGCTTCATACAGGGCTAAACATCTCGGCACGCCGTGATCGCTCTCCGAAGTTGCTTGCAACGTCAAAGGACTGTTGAACTTTCTTCTCGAATAATCACATTATTCCTGCCCACACGCAAAATACGCGCTTAGGCGTAGAGTTGCGGAAAACAGTCCGTCGTAAAATAATACGCCTAATGATATATTTTGATATCAAATTCTCAGTAGGAGTGGTCTAAGTTTTTGATGTGTGAATAAGTCAGTCAGTAAGAAATAAAAATGGCACTTTTCAGACTACAGTTTATTTATTAAATTTGGGATTCTGAGTATTCTAAAGGGCTTTATTAGTGCATATCTAATAAAGCCCCTTAGAATAATACTAACACCCTTTTAAATAATAAGTGTGTATTAATAATAGGTTTAGAATTAAGGAAGAGTTTAATGTACATTTAATTGGTGAAATACTGCCTGGTGAAAGCAGAGTCAAGCAGTGTACCTATAATGACTACAGCACGAGAACGGCTCGGCTCGACGGGGAATAAAATTTCGTTTTTATTTTTCAAATATTCTATTCTTTTGAAATATAGTTCCCCCCACCGGAGCAAAAAGGTCGAAATAATTTCCGCAGATATCCTCTTTTTGGTTTTTTTAAAAGATATATTGCATTGGTAATGGTAACCCTAAGCATTTTCTATTATAAACTATAAAAAGAACTATCATTTTTGTTGCATACCGAGCATACCAGCCAAACAGCTTACATTAGCATGAAATAGCGTCATAATTTAAATGCGGTAGTCACATTGCGGTTATATTTTGGTAGCAGCAGAAATGGGTAGGCACAACTAAGGGAAGGACTGTGCTCTCACAGATTAATAGCGTAAAATAGCAGCTTAATGCTGCTGTTATTGTTTGGTGAATGTAAAGAACTAAAGATTCTTATTATTGGTACCAAAGCTTTCTAATTTAGTCCTCAGGGAAGGACTTTTTTTAAGTTAAAAATTACTTTTGATAATTCTATTAAGTTACAGCCTATACACGTCCCACTGCTGGGCACAGGCCTCCTCTCATTTTTAAAAAGGAAGTGTCCGCCGCGCTGCCCCAATGCGTGTTGGCGAACTTAACATGTCTTCGAATTTTATTTCTTATTTCTCAGACTTGCAGGTTTCCTCACGATGTTTTCCTTCACCGCCGAGCACGTGGTAAATCAGTACTTAAAATTGCAATTAAAAATTTCATTGGTGCCGGCGGGGATCGAACCCAGTTTGTGAAAATTACATCGAGCGCTAACCATCTGAGCTGCCACGGCTCTTTAAAAAAATTATTAGAACTTTTTAAAAATATTAATTTACAATATATTGTGTTGTACAATGAAATATAAAAATATTTAGACACTATTGTAGTGATCACCTCATTCCCAATTCCTCACCCTCAATTCCAAAAGGGGTTAACCAATTATGTTATCTTTAGTAGTATAAATAATCTTACTAAATAGTTTTTATATTTTCTGGAACTTTATAGGAAGGAATTACTGACTCTTTTGAGTCAAATAAAAAGGAAAAAAACTATAATAGGATGACATCAGATTATTTTTAACAATATCATTACCTGATTCATCAAAACTATTGACTTCTTCTCGTTTACTAAGGTTGTCTTCCTTGATGGTACTCTTTTCCTTTAAACATGACATTTCAAGAGGTGCATCGTCATCTTCAGAATCTTCATTACTTGAAGCATCTGTAGTATAAGAAATATAAGACTATATATTTTTTTTCCATTATGTGCGAGCGAACGCTAACCATCTGAGCTGCCACGGCTCTTTAAAAAAAATTAATTAGAACTTTTTAAAAATATTAATTTACAATATATTGTGTTGTACAATGAAATATAAAAATATTTAGACACAGTATTGTAGTGATCACCTCATTTCCAATTCCTCAATTCCAAAAGGGGTTAACCAATTATGTTCTCTTTAGTAGTATAAATAATCTTACTAAATAATTTTTATATGTTCTGGGACTTTATAGGAAGGAATTACTGACTCTTTTGAGTCAAATAAAAAGGAAAAAAACTATAATAGGATATGTTATTTTTAACAATATCATTACCTGATTCATCAAAACTATTAACTTCTTCTCGTTTACTAAGGTTGTCTTCCTTGATGGTACTCTTTTCCTTTATACATGACATTTCAAGAGGTGCATCATCATCTTCAGAATCCTCAGTACTTGAAGCATCTGTAGTATAAGAAATATAAGTCTATTTTTTTTCATTATGTGCGAGCGAGCGCTAACCATCTGAGCTGCCACGGCTCTTTAAAAAAAATTAATTAGAACTTTTTAAAAATATTAATTTACAATATATTGTGTTGTACAATGAAATATAAAAATATTTAGACACAGTATTGTAGTGATCACCTCATTTCCAATTCCTCAATTCCAAAAGGGGTTAACCAATTATGTTCTCTTTAGTAGTATAATAACCTTACTAAATAATTTTATATGTTCTGGGACTTTATAGGAAGGAATTACTGACTCTTTTGAGTCAAATAAAAAGGAAAAAAACTATAATAGGATGACATCAGATTATTTTTAACAATATCATTACCTGATTCATCAAAACTATTGACTTCTTCTCGTTTACTAAGGTTGTCTTCCTTGATGGTACTCTTTTCCTTTACACATGACATTTCAAGAGGTGCATCATCATCTTCAGAATCCTCAGTACTTGAAGCATCTGTAGTATAAGAAATATAAGACTATATATTTTTTTTCCATTATGTGCGAGCGAACGCTAACCATCTGAGCTGCCACGGCTCTTTAAAAAAAAATAATTAGAACTTTTTAAAAATATTAATTTACAATATATTGTGTTGTCAATGATATAAAAATATTTAGACACAGTATTGTAGTGATCACCTCATTTCCAATTCCTCAATTCCAAAAGGGGTTAACCAATTATGTTCTCTTTAGTAGTATAAATAATCTTACTAAATAATTTTTATATTTTCTGGGACTTTATAGGAAGGAATTACTGACTCTTTTGAGTCAAATAAAAAGGAAAAAAACTATAATAGGATTATTTTTAACAATATCATTACCTGATTCATCAAAACTATTGACTTCTTCTCGTTTACTAAGGTTGTCTTCCTTGATGGTACTCTTTTCCTTTATACATGACATTTCAAGAGGTGCATCATCATCTTCAGAATCCTCAGTACTTGAAGCATCTGTAGTATAAGAAATATATGACTATATTTTTTTTCATTATGTGCGAGCAGCTATGCAGGTCTAGGGAAAGAGACCAGTATCACTGCGACCTAGAAGATCTATTGTGATCACTGCTATGGCTATAGTTCACGGCTAAGCCCAATGTCTTCACTGAATAGAAGGAGTTGCTTAGCCGTGAGCAATTTCACTTCTTCTGGGCGGAGTAGTTAGTTTCCCAGATGAGTGTTACATTTGCGCATTAAGGGTCCGCAATCAGTTAGGATGTGTAGAGGCGTTTCTTCCATTATAGAACAGAACCGACACATCCTTGAGTTGCTTTTTAAGACAACAGTGTCCAGTTAGGGCTCTTGCCACAATGCGCAATTTATTTTTACTTAATCCCAGGGCTTCTGAGGCGAATTTAAGATCAAAAGCCCGGATTAAGGTTTTAGAATGTTTTAAGCCTGGTGTGTCAGATCAGATCTGAGCTAATTTATTGTGATAAAGAGTTTCAAGGGTCAATCGGGCTAGGCTTCTTGAGATTCCACAAAATGGCTCAGGTCCAAATTGTGTGCACTTTGAGCCCTTCCGTGCGAGTTTGTAGGCAAACTCGTAGTTCTATATGTTACAACATGATTTTGTAAGGTTATGTGACTGTATGTTTAGACTACCTCAAAAAAGGAGGTTCTGGGTTTGTTTGTTTTTACTTAATATGTATATTATGTAGTATATTTGTGATGTCAGTCAATTCTGAATTGATTTTAATGATTCTTTTTTTACTTCACAAGTGAACCCATATAAAAAAACACTTCTAAGGATAAAACATAGGGGGTAAATTTTTGATTTTATGTTTTATTTAAACAAAATTTTAGTTGTTACCCTGAGCTTTTGATAATTCTTAGCCTACAGAAGAAGGTACAAAAAACTTGCACCAATGGGTTGGCTTAACTGCAGAAGAACCACTCTCACAGATTACCAGAATGAAATAGCAACATAATGCTGCTGTGTTTGTATTGTGAGTATAGAGAACCAGATCTTTTTTACTGCAAAAGGAAGTATTCCATCTTAGTCTTTAGGAAAGATAACACATCTGCACTGCATTTAGATTATTAATCGAGGATAGATAAGATGTCTATGGGTCACAGCATCTACTCATCATCTGTGTATTTATTTGTCACTTTAATTTTACAAAACAGCTAATATGTGGAACACCAGCGTAAAATACCAACTCAATTGTGCTGTTTCGTACATATGGTAAGTGAACTGGAGACCCTTTTTACTGGAAACCAAGCATTCCATCTCAGCCCTCACGGGTACAACGCATTTACATTTTGATTAGTTATTGAGGATGAATGTACATGTCTATGGGCCACAGTAACCACTTACCACCAGGTGGACCGTGTGCTCGTTTGTCAACTTTATTCTATAAAAAAATCCTTTTTAGTTCTTTCAAGTGGACTTTTTAATTTTAAAATTTAGAATACCAAATAATTAAATAACAATTCAAAATATATATTTAACATAAGAAATTTAATATAATAATCTAAGTTTTATGTCTATTTAAGTTTTACTCACTATTTGCATGAGAAGTATTGTTCATCTTTATTTTTGCTTCATTATCTTCATTAGCAGATGAATCGGAATTGGTATGAGTTACAAAGGTATCCACAAAAAATGATGTCTCTTCTCCCTTTTCATTGCTACAACCCTCTGAAATTTACAGAAAATGATATGTGAATAAATATCTCCTACAACAGATACATTTTGGTATGTGTTTGACCATAGCAATATTTCAACTATCCGTAAACTTTTTGGTAAATATCATTAAAATGGTACAAAAACTGGCCTAATGGCCAAAGTAGCTAATGGTAAAAACATTGTTAGTTTTCTGATCTGGAACTGTTGTGATTATCAGTTATTGCATCCAGGCATAGCTCCTTTAAAAAATATTCCCATCCAAATCTAGGTTATTAAGGATCTAAGGTCCATCAACGATTGTACATGGCTACTGCAGTGCATGAAACCTGTATCCAACTTCAAACAAAAAAGCTACACATGCAGTGTAATAAGATGGGGCTAAAATGGAATGCCTCACAGTCTTTAATTATACTGTGCCACTATACCCTTCAGACTAGTACACACAAATACAAGTACTGCTATTTGTCAACAGATATAAATCATATCATATAATACATATATCTTGAACATTATCGTAAGGGGTACATAAACAATAAAAAATAAACATATACTTTTATTTAAAAAAAATTGAGTTCATATCAAATGAATTAGATGTTTTTTGCTTGAACTGCCTCCTAATGCAATGAATAACTAAAAAATAATAAATTTCTCTTGGATTTTTTTACCTTCATTACAGCAGAGAATCATTGCCGAAACTATGCAGGTACTTTTGTTAAAAAACAAAGCACTTCAGAAAAAAAGGTACAGAAAGTATTTATTACAAATACAGTAACACTCTAAATGTGTATCATTGTCTAAAAGTACAGGAGCAACAGTTTCTCTTCAGTTTTATATTATATCACACGTTATTATTGTAATAATATAACATAAAAATTCATATCCCACTATGAGGCAATCAATCTATAACAAAAATGAGGCAATCAATGCGGAAGGCTTTTTATCAGCAGTGGGCGTCGATAAATTGTATAGAATGTTCTATAATTTTTTATTTTTTTATTTTTATTTTTAGAAATATGCAAATAACATGATTGTTGGACTATAAAACGATATTATTACTCTTTATTTTCATACCTTTTCTGTGTAAATATTTTTATTACATTTCCTTAAAAGCATTACAAATGACTCAACTTTTCAAAGACTTTTCAAAGACAAAACTTTACAAAGAAAAGTCATTTCTAGCACTGTACTATTACAGTAAAAAGCTCTGTCCAGATGGTGGTATAGGACAGAAAACAGTAATTTAGGAAAATTATGACCAATTTGTATTTGAAAAATACTTGTATTGTAAGTATATATGTATGATGTGTAGTTAAAACAAATTATGCAATTTTTCAAATTCTAAAATAATTATATATATTTTGTATATATTTTAACATATTTAACTGACCTTCATTTTCTGGAAGAGCTTTTGGTTTTTTAGTCTTTAAAACATTTTCATCCAGCAACAATTTGTTGTTCATGGTAGCTTCATTATCTGTATCTAAAAGTAATAACATAGAATTTAAATGTTACAATCATTTAGAGCAAAATACTGTCACATAATTTTTAGCACTTGATTGAGTATCACTTTAAATATATGTAAAAATTCTTTTAAATTTACCTTCTCTAGCTCGGGTATCTGTTTTTGCTTGAGATTTTTTTAGTGATTTGAAATCTTCCAAGCTTTCTCCAGATTTTCTTCTACTTTTTTTATTTAAATCTCCACTATTAGTGCTATCTTTAGAGAAGAGCAACTTCAAATCAATTGAATCCGAAGAATCATCAGAATCAGAATTTTTTATTGCCTTTGATCCTTTCAATTTTGACTTTTCAACAATAATATTATTCTGTTTTATTGGTGAACAATCATTTTCTAAAGTTTTTTGTTTTAATTTGTCTGATGGTTTTGCTTTTGGGCAGAGTTCATCAGTACTTTTTACATTTACCATTTTGCTAGTGCTCTGTCTGTTAGTATTCAATGTATCACCACTTTGAGATGATTTATTTTTTGACTTTTTAGACTGTGTTAAATTAAGATTTTCAACAATAGAAATTTTTGGATTTGATTTGATTTTATATTTTTCATCCATATTTAATGATTGATTACCAGATTTTATCTTTAACTCATTGAGCATTTTATCGTAATTCTTTGCGATATTTTCTTCAGCACTACTTAAATTGGAGCTGCTGTTATCAGAATCTTCTAAAAGATCTTTGAGTTTAAGTAAATCGGAAGTGCTTTTCTCACAAGGCGTGCCTTTTATTACGTCAGTGTTAATAAAACCAACAGAGTTGTTAGATTCTTTTGCTGGAGTATTTGGTTCAGATTTAATTTGTGTTCGTAATGGATCAGTTATATTATTTGTTATTTCTTTGCAAATTGTTATCTCTTTTTCCACTAATAAAGTTTCGTTACACGAAGATTCTGATAAACCTCTTTTTTTCTTTTTCTTTTGGGTAATAGAACTGTCTGTATCAGATTTAATTGCATGATCATTAGCTGTAGAATTCAATTTGTTTCTTTTATTTTTTTTCGAACCTTCGATGTCGTCTTCAGATTGTGAAGATTCTAATCTCTGACGGAGGATATTCTTTTTTAATTTAGAACTTTTACTACTACTTGAAAGGCTTAACTTGTGGCGTGCTTTAAACATTTCTCTTGATGCTTGTTTTTGCTCTTTTAATTTTCGCTCGTTATATTTTTTCTTTGATTTTGTAGTCATTTTGAGTTCTTTGTCGCTCATGGATAAATCGTCACCAGACACACTGGACAATTCGTAGTCTTCTTCATCGGAACTAACTATAAACGAATCTTTCTCATAATCAAAATCATTAGTCAATTCATCTTCAGATGTTAATGTTTCTCCTTTTTCTAAAATTTCGTTATCTATTTGGTATTGCCTTTCCTCATCATCTTGGCTATCTCCAGATTCATAGTCATTACTTGCTTCTTCAGCTTCATTATCAATTAAATTGTTTTCACTAGATGTAGATTCTTTTTCTGAAATGGAATCTTCTGTGGCAGGATGCCCAGACACATCTTTTTTAGTAGTTATTTTAACCTTTTCTTTTGATATGTTACTATCAAATATATGCTTTGATTTATTGTTACCTTGATCACTTGTACCAGTCTTCTGTTGAAGAGTGGTTGTTAAATAGTTAAGGGATAGATTTTTGTTCACCTTTGTATCTTCTTGTGTGTTGTCTAAAATATTGCTTAATTTTGACAAGCGTTTATTATTAGAAATTTGGGGTGACTTTGAAGTGTTGTCAGTGCTAGATATATCTTTTAATTGCGAAAATATACAGGTACTTTTATTTTCACTATCACTTTTCTCTTGATTTTGAGATGTTGAAAGATCAGAGGATGATCTTCTAGTATTATTAGAAATTAAATTGTTTTTAATATTCGAATCTATTGAACTATTTAATACTAACTTTGACTCCATTTCTGATTCCTTATTTTGTAGGATGTCTGGTAATGTTACATCTACATCCATTGGTTCACAGGTGTCATTTGTAACAACATCATTGGCATCTTTAAAATCTTCTTTTTTATTTTGAAAGGATTTAGATAAAATATAATCTGTTTTTGTATCACTTCTGTTTTCTAATTGATCAACAACAACTGGAACACATTGATCTTCCTTGTTTTCTTGAATGTTCATTTGTATAGAATTAGAATCCGAATCTTCCATGACTACCAAAGTCTGAATATTGCTACTTGGATCTTTTTGCAATACATTTCTTATTTGACCAACATTTTCTACATTATGGTTGCTGGTTAAATTATTTGCTTCTTCATTAGAGTTAAATTTATTAGGTGTTTGTTTTAAAAATGTATCACTTTCTTTCTTTTTCTTACTTTTAGAAGACTTTACATAATTTTCTGAAGAATTTAGTTCATCAATATTGCTTTCATTTAGTTTGCTATTATCACCTGAACCTTTCAATATATTATTTTTTATAACATCAGATATGCTATTTTTATGCTTTTTCTTAACATTTTCACTATCACTATAAAAACCTTCAATGGGAACAGAAACAGTGGTTATAGCAGTCCAAGACTTAGTTCTGTGTCTTTTACATTGCACCTTGTTCAATTTCTGAGCTTCTGATAAACTTTTCTTAATATGTGAGAATATTTTCTTAGGGTTTGTGTCTAAGTCTTTAATAAGGTTTGTACTAGAAAGAGAAAGACTGTGTTTGTCAGACATTTTTATTTCTGCTTTACCGTCAATAGTGTTGTCTGTATTTTCTGTTAATGACACAATAGGCTTTTCTGTTTTGCAATTATTGTCTCTAGAAGTATTATGAGTATCACTCTTATTACCTTCAACACTACTAGTATTTTTATCATCTGGTACTGAGGAATTACTTAATCTAGATTTTTTACTTAATAGCCTAGGACTCTTGCGAACTGGACTTTGTTTTTTGTCTTCATTGTCTAGGGTTTTTAATTTATTGTTTGATGTTTTATTAACATTGTCAGGTTCTTCAACGATTATTTCAGGTATTGGAGTTGTATTCTTTACGATAGCAGAGGTTGCTTCCACTGAAATAAATTAATTCAAGTGACAGTAGCCTAATGGCAAGGCGCGGACCGCTAACTTAAAAGGTCGTGGGTTCGAATCCACCATTTGACTACTGCCGTGAACCACTCCTAACACAAGCATTTTCAGCTTACCAGGAGTGGTTAAAGGGAATATTAGTAATGTTAATTAATAGGATTACTAATATTCTTTAAAAAAATTGTTAAAATTGATGTTTATATTATGAAAATTTCATGTATCAATAATTCATTAAACTGTAGTTGAATTTATTATGGAATCAATGGTATAATATAAGTTAAAGTACCTTGTTTTGCAACATTGGATGTTAAATCTTTCCTAGTCCTGCGAGTTTGTCTAACCGGAGTCAGGGGCAATTTTTTATTACTATCTAAAAGAGCAAATAATACATTTATTATTATTAACCTATTATTTACTTTAAATAAAGCTATCCTTTTAAATGCCATAAATTATAATGAATTTTTAAGAACTAACCAACTTGAGAAGTTCTTCTTGCAGCACTTTTAGCTTTAGGTGAGTCAATATTTTGAATTGTATCTGATACAATACTGGTATTGTATTTAATCCTAGTACTTCTTCTTAATGGTGTTACGGGCTTATATTCAACTGTATCTACAATTTCTTTGACTACTGATTTTCTAGTTGAGTTTTTTAAATAGTTTTCTACTGCTAAAACAATTTTCTTATTATAAAATACTTCTTAGGATGCACATTACATTAATGTTTAAAGATATATACACTTTGTATGTGGTAGAGCCATGCTGCAGCTATATTTTGGTTGTAGCATGAATGAGTCGGCTCGACCAGGGAAGGACCACACTTTCACAGAATACCAGTGTCAAATAGCAGCTTAATGCTGCTATGTTTCGTATGAGAGTAGAGAACCGGAAACCCCTTTTACTGGAATCAAGGCATTCCATCTAAGTCCTCAAGGGTGATAACGCATCTGCATTTCGATTCTTAATCGAGGTTAAATGTAGATGTCTATGAGCAACAGCAACCACTTACCATCAGGTAGACTGTGCTTGTTTGCCACCCTTATACTATAAAAAAAATACACCAAAACAGCTACATGCAATTAGATGTGCTGTGTTGTTATTTTATTTTAAATTGTGCAAAAATAGAAAGATCTTTACCATTTTCATCTATCAAAACTAGTTCTGGTTTTGCCACCCTTCTACCACCTCTTTTCTTTGTTTGTGTACTAGGGGCAGGGGATGACTTTCCATCGTCAAATCGTTCCACAGACATTCTTCTTCGAAGTCGCATCACTGGAGCTAGTATTAAAGTCTTTGTTAGGAAAATTTTAAGAATAATAGTAATTTGCTATGATATGATTATGGAAATAAACATCAGTTTTTGCTTAATAACTTAAATATTTTTACTATATTGTTAAATAAAATTTGAATGTATAGCACAACCTGGAAACTAGAGATAGGCCGAATATTTGTTCCATATTCATTGTATTGTTCTGTATTCGGCAGTTTTACCAAATATTCATATTCAGCTAAATCACCGAACATTTGTTAAAGTGGTACTCAATGTGTCCATTGTATTGAAATGTACAAATTGAAAGTCATGCCATGTCTTTCTTAATTTTACTTTTGAAAGTATATTGTATTTATCGGTGAAATCTACTTGTATAGTGTTGTTTTTTAAGGCACTGTAGATTTATTTCCAATAATAGCAAATAGAAAGCTTGATAAAATGTTTTTGGAATCAAATAAAGAAACATTACATTACATTAGTACTTTCATTTTACTTTGATAGTCAGTTTCTCTAAAATAAGTCCAAATAGTAGATATCCTGTCACTCATTTTTATCATATAATAATATATTTTCACTAAGAATAATAGGAACAAAATACTTTTTTCTCACTACAATAGTCATAACATAAGCATGTGCTGGCAATTTGCTCACCACTAGATGATGCAATAACATGTCAGGTGTGGTAGGTGAGCGAAAGAAAGCCCAGCGCTTAACCCGCGCGCTTTATGTTAATAAGTTTCAGGCTAATATTTGCAATATGGACCATCGATTTCAAAGCCCATATTTTTTTTTGTAGATAGTACTCACTAAAAGAAAGCGTTTTGCAAAGTTTCAGGTTGCGGAAACTTACGGTTCATGAGATATATTTTTTTAAACTTTTCATACAAATTGGCAAATAACACGCAATTACAAAATAAGGGTATGTTCCGAAATACAACGCAGTGTACTGTCCAATGCAAATGACGTCATGAATCGACGCTATACTGGTGATTCGTTCCAAAACATTGGACAGTATAATATGACGTCATACTTTTGCGCCATTTGGAAAAGTGTTGGCGATTATTTTGTCATTTTGTGCTCCAAAAATCATTATATCCTCCTAATGGATATACCATCAATTATTCTATAATTTTTTGTATTTGAATAAATAGAAACAAATTCTGGCATGCTTCATTCGGCAAACACACAATTAAAAATTGTTTTATTATGGCCGGATATCCGACACAATATGACGGCGGCACGCTAGTACAATAATGTGTCAAATGATGACGTCATTTGCATTGGACAGTACACTGCGTTGTATTTCGGAACATACCCCATATTTCACAAATGACTGATGTCCAACGTCAATTAGTGTAGGGTTCCCAAAATTTTGAAAGTATCGATACCTACTAGATACCAAGTATCGCATCAAAAGTATCAATTCTACTTGGTATCGAGTACATTTCGTTAATTTTGGAGACGAAAAATTATGACAAACCATTTAGATGCATATGAAGAGCTGATAAGTGCAATTTTTTTTTAATTTTATTTATTTAATATATTATTACATTCATTATTTACACATTACTTTACGGTACAATCATAAGTTTATAGAAACTTTACCGTGTACCGGTATCACCGACAATAATAAATATGAGGGTGTAGTAAGACAAAAGAAATACACTTAGTATTTATTAGTTAATTGCGTAACCTTCTATTGCACAATGCACCGCGCATGGATCGTATATTTTATACAGGGCGCTTGTTTTAGGGCGTTATCGTAATATTTATTATTAAAAACATATTATGAATAATTTAAATTATTAGTAATGCATTCCATAAAGTAATTTTTTAATTTTAATTTAATATTTTTTTGATTTAGTTCTGATTTTACTGATACTGGTAGGTTAAATACGTATATAAAATAGAATAAAGTTTACTCTATGTTAGTTCCACATTAGTACTTGTATTTCATCGCTTGCAACTTGTTTGTATTTCTTAATTATTACAGCTTTTGTGCTTTTATTTTATTGTTTGCAACTTTCTGTATTATCTAATTCTTACTACAATAAAGTGTTTACTTACTTAATATCCAAAAATAACCCAAAACCGAATCAAAGCACCCCACTATCCACGTGGTCTTGTCTGCCCTACCCCTAGAATGTATATAAGAGCCGGGAGGCGCGGAGGGAGGGCAGTGCCCGCCCGCCGTATGGAAGGGCAGGCACCGAGATCGCCGTAGCGGCTGAGGCTGGTCCAAAAAGCCGAAGCTGCGAAGGCGAGCTCAGGTGCCTGTGCTTCCCTACGCTAGGGCGGAGGTACTGCTCATCCCGCAGTGCCGGAGCTGCCACGGAGCGCCGGAAAACGATTTCCCCGCTTCTAACCCCCCACCTCACTTCCCCGCTACTAACCACACCCCACCCCCTTCATCTCGTAAGCCCCACCATTTTCTTCACTTAATCTGGTTCATTTTACCCCCCCCTTCCCCATATCCCACCCCCTCCATTTCATCAGATATACGAAAACGAGAATAATAATAAATAATATAATAAATTTTAACCATGAATATCTCCAAAACCATGGGGTTCCGCATGTTGAAGATGGTACAGGGGGTAGCCATACCCCTCCCACCCCTAAAACCTCATTTATCGATGGTCCATATTGGAAAGTTAAAGTCTCCAAAATTAACGAAATGTATTCGATACCAAGTAGTATTGATACTTTCGATGCGATACTTGGTATCGATACTTTCAAAATTTTTGGAACCCTACACTAATTGAAAAGTGAAGTGATTGACCTTTGACATCAATGGGTGCGTTTGGCAGAAAAAAGCGCTAGCAAGCGCTTGTAAACAAAATGGCGATCGTAAGCGGTAAGCGCTGTCAAATCGTAAGTAGCTATTTTCCTCTAGGACACGAAGTTAGTTTTAACCGGGGAACCTAACCCAATTTAAATATATGTTTGTAAAGTATTCATATTAAAAACTTACCAATCATGAATTTTTAATAACATGTATATGTTTATTCATGTCATTATTTTATTTAAAACTAATATTGCACAAAAAAACTTATAAACTCTACTTCAAAACAAACAAATTAAATAAGCAAAATGGCGGATTATGTCAGCGCTACTGAAGTAGCAACCGTGTCCTGGCCGAAAACTATTTCAGCGCTTGTAAGCGCTTGCTAGCGCTTTTTTCTGCCAAACGCACCCAATTATTTGTCTATTTATATAACTTTTGGTGTTAGTTTTCTATATTACAGTTTCTTTTTTTATACATTGTGTGTTATTAGTATTAATTGTAAATATTATAATTTCATTTCATTAATTAGAAAAAATGTTGGCCATTATTTGTCAAATTTATTTTGTAACTGAGTGATATTTGCCAATTAGTATGAAAAGTTAAAAAAATATATCTCATGAACCGAAAGTTTCCGCAACCTAAAACTTTGCAAAACGCTTTCTTTTAGTGAGTACTACCTACAAAAAAAATATGGGCTATGAAATCGATGCTCCATATTGGAAATTTTAACCAAAGAAATATATACCACCTACCCACATTTGTAAAAAAATATTAAAATTCTCTAATTAATAAAATTTTCTTTAAATAATTGTTTCAAACTAGTAGAAATAAATATATTAATATAACCAATAGGTCTATAGATAAAATATAAAAATGAGATTAAATTGCGCAGTAATCCCAAAAAATTAGAAATAACGTCGGTCTATTTATAAGACAATTAAGTTATAGAACTAATGATTTACCCGTGGCTGGTTAATGAACATAATCTGAAGTCTTAGATCAACGTAAATAAAAATTTAGGAAAAACATTGAAGGGAATAATCATGTAAGACGGCACGCTTGCACCACGCGCCATTTGTTACATTGTAAAAAATAAATACGAACCTTTGACCTCAACTTCTTCGTCCATCTTATACTTGATTCTAATGATTGCCTTTTTGACTTTTATGAGTTGATACAAGTTAGGCGAAACAAGTGTATAAACAGAAATAAACGTTACTTTGAGGTTGAGATTAATAAATTATGGTCGAACAGCCTTTGAGACGCCGCGAACTGTCAATTTGAATCTAAAACCGAAGCGCAGCTAGGGATGTTCTAATGATCATCGATGTTAGGGATGTTCTATGATCATCGATGTTAGAAACTTCGATGTTACCACACGTTAAATATCGAAACATCGATGTTGCCACATTTCAAATATCGATGTCAATGAACCAATAATCGATTAATAAGAACTTGTGAACAATGCGAACCCGCGAAATCAATATCACCTAAATATTTCATCTCTTATTAAAGGTTTAAAATTTTGAATAATTAAGGATTCCTAAATGCATCGATCACCTAAAAACTATCATTATATTGTATCAAACTCCCCGTCGAGTGTGAACTGTAATGTCACTGTTGTAACTGCTTTCGCTTTGTTATTGTGGTGTCGTTATCGGCTGTCGCCTAATAACTATTCTACATAAATTAATATTCAAATTAATTGTTTTTTTCCTTGCTGTCTATACACACATAATTTTGAAACAATATGTATCTACACAATATAATTATATTTAGCTGATTTTTTGAGCTTGGGATAACAAGTTTATGGTTTGCTTGAAGTTTATCAGAATAAATCACTGGGCAATCGCGAGCATAGACAATTTCACTGCAAAGTGCATTCTACAGTGCATTTTATAAACGGCTGTGGATACTTACTGCCTGTGCTGCCTGATTAAAAATTGTGTGAACAAAGGTGACGGAAAAGTCTATTATTTTGTTTTTGTGAAGTTTGTTAACTTTTCCTCTATAAGCATTTTTTATTTAGCGATAGGAGTAGTTAATATAAAATCAATTTCTAAATCGTAAATTAGGATAGGAAATAATTTATTACCAGATTTGTAATTGTACAGGAACATTTAAATATCAAAATAATAATGTTACGCGCCTAAGTCGACGACACTAGCGCCATCTAGTCTCGAACCGAAGAATTAAACTTCTTGAAGTTGAAACTCGAACTCTCGGTACCTTGCGCGTGTTTACTTGAATATTCTGGATATTTCGGTGCTAATTTATATTTATAGGCGCTGCAAGATGCGATCGGGGAAGTATTGAATTCGGCGAGACAAGCGAAGCTTCGGAGCGAAATAGAGTGAATTAGTGTGCTTAATTATTAGTGTTTTAAGTTTTAATTTGTGTAAAGAAAATTAAAGTGTTAATTTAGGTAATTTTATCGGCAATTTTTATTGTCACGTACCTCAAGCTCGTAACAATTGGTGTCAGAAGTCGGATAAAATCATGCCAATTTTACCTAAGGAGGAAACGGAGGGTGTTCGTACCCGCAGTCAACGCCAGCATGAGACCGACCAGAGAAGATTTGGTGGTGCAACGCCGCAGACGTCGGAGGGCCAGCCGCCGGCAACGGAGGCCGGTCCGTCAGTAGCTCCTGCATCTGCAGCACCTGATTTAGGCGCCCTGATGGTGATGCTGCAGGAGCAGGCCCGCCGACAGGAGGAACAGGCCTGCCGACAGGAGGAACAGGCTTGTCGGTTCGAAGAGCAGCTGAAGCGCGGACAGGAGGAACAGGCCAGTCAGTTGAAAGAGCAGCAGGAGGAACAGGCCCACCGACAGGAGGAACAGGCCCGCCGACAGGAGGAACAAGCCCGTCGCTTAGAAGAGCAGCTCAAACGCGATAGGGAAGAGCAGATGCTTCTCATGAAGGACCTTCACGCTACCTTCGGGAAAGAGATAAGGGAGGTGAAGGATAAGGTTGCTCAACATGATAGTCGCCTGTCGGAAGCTGATACCCAAATCAACCAAGTTAAGAAAACGCTGGATGAACTCAAACTTGGAGATGGAATTGCACCCTCCGCAGTAGCTACTACACCTTCGCTACGTGGGTTTAAGGTACCACCGTTCGACGGGACTTCTTCCTGGTTGGCCTACAAAATCCAGTTCTAGGCCGTCATGGAGGCAAAGGGCTGGAATAAAAGCCAGGCCATGACTGCACTCACCTTAGGCCTGCGCGACCAAGCCTTAACTGTGTTGGAAGCTCTCGGTAAGGAAGTGACCTACGAGCAGCTCACTTTAGGCCTGCGCGACCAAGCCTTAACTGTGTTGGAAGCTCTCGGTAAGGAATAGACCTACGAGCAGCTCCTTGAGGCATTGGAGGCGAGATATGGTGACACTCACCTGGAACACGTCTTTCGCGCGCAGCTTAAAGATCGCGTGCAACGCAGCAACGAAAACCTGCAGCAGTGGGCCCTTGAGGTGGAGAAGATGGTTCGAAAAGCGTACCAGTCTGTACCTGCGCTCATTGAAGGAAATCTGGTTCAGACATTCATCGACGGAATCCGCGACCTTGAAGTCAGAGCTGCTGTGAGGCTCGGGCACCACGAGACGCTTAAGAACGCCTTGGCCCATGCACTGGAGGTGGAAGCCGTGCGGCAGGACCTTCGCTCCCATCGTGTCAGGGAGGTTGCAGCAGCTACGGTTCGCGACCGCAATAAAGGATAAAGCCCTAGGAAGTGAACGATATCAGGAGGGTAGTGCAGCTAACGGCAGGGCCTGGCGGCGACAGGATCGTCGTTCACCTCACGCTAGGGAGGTTGCAGCAGTTACGGTTCGCGACCACAATAAAGGATACAGCGCTAGGTGCTGTGGCTGTGGGGAAAGGGGCCATCTTCGGTCCAGCTGCCCTAAGCACACCCTAGGAAGGGAAGGTGAACGGTCTCAGAAAGGAAGTGCGGCTAACAGCACCGCCCAGCAGCAGCAATACGACTTTACTATCAGACACAGCAGCAGAAATCTCACGGCAACGCAGATGCATTGTCAAGAAGACCTTGTCCTGAAGATTGCAACCATTGTAGTAGGCAAGAGAGTAAGGAAGTGGTATCCGTGAGGATGCTCAGGACAGACCACCTCAGCAACAGGTGGAAGGACAGCCTACGACATGCACAGCAGGAAGATCTGGACATCAAGCCGATTCTGGAAGGGATGAAGGCCCGTGCTACCAAGCCTAAGTGGAGGGACGTCTCAGCGATGAGTTCAACCACGAAAAGCTATTGGGCCCAATGGGACAGCTTGCTGATTCAGGATGGAGTCCTGTGCCGTAAATGGGACAATGGTCGAGGAGACAGCTGTCGTTTGCAAATGGTTGTCCCTAAAGCTAAAGTGCCGAATGTTCTACAGCTGTGCCATAATGGTCGTTCAAGAGTCCATCTGGGAGTTAAATGAACTCTACTGAAGGTCCGAGAACAGTTTTACTGGGTCCATTATCGTGACGATGTCGAGGATTGGTGTCGTACATGTACAAGTTGTGCGGCCGTGAAGGGACCTCAGACATGTAGTAGAGGAGCATCGAAATTGTACAATGTTGGTGCACTATGGGATAAAACAGCCCTAGACATTGGGAGGAGAAAGGCGCAAGAGGGACTCCTAAGATCGCCCATGTGGATCGCCTGGCGCGTTATTATGGGGCCGATAATGCTCGGGACGAGCATGTCTTAGGAGGGGGCAGTGTTACGCTCCTAAGTCGACGGCACTAGCGCCATCTAGTCTCGAACCGAAGAATTAAACTTCTTGAAGTTGAAACTCGAACTCTCGGTACCTTGCGCGTGTTTACTTGAATATTCTGGATATTTCGGTGCTAATTTATATTTATAGGCGCTGCAAGATGCGATCGGGGAAGTATTGAATTCGGCGAGACAAGCGAAGCTTCGGAGCGAAATAGAATGAAATAGTGTGCTTAATTATTAGTGTTTTAAGTTTTCATTTGTGTAAACAAAATTAAAGTGTTAATTTAGGTAATTTTATCGGCAATTTTTATTGTCACGAACCTCAAGCTCGTAACAATAATATTCATCATTATTGGCAAAAATTATAACAAATTAACTAAATATTTGTTAAGTTTCTCCCATTTTTTAAATTACTGTTTCACACTGAATGTGTTATTAATTTCTTTAATTTCATAAATAATAAATCATATACAACACTACAAATTTTTTACATCTAATTTTAACCTACTAAATAGGTGCATGTGCTATAACATCGATAATGGCCAACATCGATGTTTTGAGTAGGATAAACATCGAACATCGATGTTAAGTTATCGATATCAACATCGATGTCATCATCGATGTTTCTGTAACATAAATCATCCCTAAGCCGAAGCGTGCCAATGCCAAGGAACTGGGAATAATGGCAACACTAACATCCAAAGAGTATATAAACGGTATAACCACTACGTTTTACTAACATCCGGTACAGTATCATAGACGAGAGAGGACGAGATGATAGAAAGCCTTTGAGTATCCAACCAACTGGAGAGGCCATGCGCGTTAATTTTTAAACAAAAAGGCAGTCATTGTCAGGGGGGTGCAAGAATAACACACTGTATACCATGAAGGTTAGAGAACACGAGAACGATCACTACGTACGAAAGCATAGCCCGCCTTGAAAATTGTAGAATGTATAGCGGCGCTGACGTCGGTGAGTAGTAATTGCGAAGTTAGCTGTTTATGAGTACAAGTAGATGAAGTTAGTTGAATAATGTACACGTTTTCATTTAATTTTTAATGAGAAAATTTTCATGCTTCGTAATTTTGTATTTTTTTACAAAAAGACACATTAAAAAATGGAGAAATATTTTATTGTGCGTGGATGTGCAAGTGGTTTGGACTCAAAATGACTTTTATAGACCGAACCTCGAGCGATCGCCGCGCCTCACTTATGGTGTCCATGTTTCTGGACACTATTTTCTACGGTGATCGTTCTCCTGTTCTCTAACCTTCATAACTGTACACTTTACTACAAATTCAAAATTGAATCGCGTCACTATACACGCACACTACAGCATTTGTGTTTGTATTCATTGCATTTACGCATGCTATCAAATTTTATACGTGTCGATACACTAGCGTCGCTGTC